GATGCAGTGTGAAAAACTGCATCTAATGATATAGTTTCGTGAGTGATCACATAAAATATCATCAGAACGTTGCTGAGCCTACAAGCGATTCACAATCATACAATGAAAGGTCGTGTCATGCTATATTCAAATACCAAAAATAGTAGATTCTGAAATCTTGTTTATAGTCTTAAAAGTGAAGCTTCTTGTCCTACCCCATTTGACATTCATAAAAATAAAGAGATTTAGATGACGATTTTATTTTGAGTTTTTTCCACTATTTGGTCACTTAGGATAGTGGCTCATATTGCAAGTGATAGAGGTCGTCTCTTAGCACTAAAACGTCTCAATAATAAGATCTAAGGGAAACATAGCTCCTTCGAAAGTATGCAAGGGAAAGGACACCAAAACGTTCGAAAGCTTTACTATTTCGGTAGAATGAAGCTTCATTTGACATGACAATTTTGTCTATCGTCGAACTCGTGATTATAAATAGTTTCTCAAAATTTCGTACTCGTTCATTAAGCTTAACCTGAGTTCTAACCTTTATGAATGGATTGATCAGTATGAGGTGTGCCTGTGATTGTTGGTGAAGAGCGACAAACTAAGCAAGTGCTCTCATGCCGAAGTCCACACGACTTTGAGATGACGCAGCATTTTCTTTAACAATGAAATGCTGACTTCTACTATTTGAAATATGTTAAAACAATTATTGTTGAAGCACGCTAAGTTACCAAGAAAGAAAAATCTATTTAAAAAATGAATGCTCTTAAATGGCGATGCAAAAGTCTTTACACGCATGTCACAGTCTGTTAGACCATATTACCCACTTCTAAACCAAGAAATTCTTTTTTTTTTTGTTGTTAGAAAAAGTAATGTCTATATTATAAGTTTTGCACCAGACATATTTTAGCAGGAATAATCTGAAGAGAAGGAAAAATCCAAAACAAAATACCCTCAAACAAATAGTTCTTGAAACTTTACTATTGAGCAACAGCATTGTTTATTTTTTGTTAGCTTCTTTTTTCTATCAGAGGGAAAATGAAAAAAAATATGTTTAATGCTGATTTCTGTAGCGTAAAGAGTGCTCTGTTCAACGGTGTATCGGAAATAAAAGTTATTCTTGTTTTTTTTTATAACACAATATAGCTTTCTCTTAAACAATATTGTGTAAGTGAGTCGTTTTTGCTACCTGACTGGTTTGTAACCATAAGAGAATGTTTTCTTGAATTATTTTCTCTACTAAATTTTTATGACCTGAACTATTTCGAATAAATAACGCAGACAAAATTCAGTTCACACATCATTTCTGGAGATAATGAGTTGTGTTTCAGGGAACTTATATTTCTTAGAAAAGACTGTATTCTATAAAAAATTTTATCTTTCTAACTTTCTTGAGTAACGAGTCAAAGATAGATCTAACAAATTTTGCCAAAGTTGATAATGATAGATTTTTCGATGCGCTGCATTTTTATGTAATTTTGTTCCAAATTTGATTCATTCGTGTAGCTCAAACTAATTCGGAAATATAGATTTTTCAATTTGGAAAAATATTGCGAGGACTCTTTTAGAAGTGTTTGATTTTAGACTTTTCCTCTTCAATAGATTTTTGTTCTAAAGAAATATATCTCCCAAGCTGTCCTTCGATGGATATTTTGACACGATGATTTCAGCGTACGATGGGCATTGAATTTTCAGATCAAGAGCTCGGAGTATTATTTTCCGATGGGGCACGAAATCTCTGAAAACGAAAAAAAGTTCGTGGACTAAACATCTTATTTAGGAGCCCTCAAAAACCAGCACATAAATGCCGAACTGAAGATTTGAACATAAGTACTTATCTGTTACAAAACTTTTTCCGAGCCGTCGGCACCCATCTAAGAAATCCTAAATAGAAGGGTTGAACATACGTACTTACGATTACGAATTTTTTGCCGAACAGTCGAACCAAATATCAGCTATTATTTCTCGATAAAAAGTGTGTTTTAAATTAGTGCATGACAATACTTTGATTTTTTTCTATTTTATTATAAAACTCTATTTTCTAATTTTTGAAGCGAACAAAAGAATACATTTTAAAAGTGTAAGAAATCTTTAGGATCGAGTTAATATTAAGAAAATTTGTCGGATGATTATAAGAAGATTTTGATGAGCAAATATCACTAATAAACTGCGGGCAAAATATTCAACAAAAATATTCGAAGTATTCAGAGTCTGATAGTTCAGTGTTATTATGTTTTTAAGAAAATGACAACGAAATTCCATTACGATACTCTTCTCTGGCTGGTAGATATTGATGCTACGAGAAGTATTAAATGTTGAAGAAATATATGACTTCAGTCAGCATCCTTGACGAATGTTTAAAATAAATCTAAGTTCATTTTTATGACATTTTTTCAACAAACATCATTAACTGGCGTAAAACCTAAAATAATACACATTTGAAACGCTCGCATTGCTGATTTTATTGTTAATGTAAGCTCAATTCTAAATCTGCCCATGTAAACACCAAAGGCAAAATACATGCGTTCAAACGCGATTTTTGTTATGAACCGCGTCTCTAGGGAAATATTTTTTGCATCTACATGCAATTTTATTTTGGACTGCTTCTGACCAGGGTTTTGTAAGTGACCGCGTCTAGATGCATTTGATTACCACGATTCAGAAACAAATAAAACGCGAATAAGTCGCGTTTTATTACAAAAATTATTTACATGGACGGTCCTATATCCACCAGAAAATATTTCACCAATATCAGCTATAAAAATTGATTTAGTTTGAAAAATGTTTAGTACTCAATAATTTTCACGGTCTTTTTCATAATTTTAACTGCTAGTCATTTTTTGCTACATTCTATACATTATTGTGTCCTTTGCACGCTTTTGTACCCCATTCTAAGTGAAATCGAAAAGAGAATGAAGATTTATAATGTAGTTTTTTAAATTGATTCTATTGTGTTTGTAATCGCCAGTGTCGACATTTTCAACAATCTGGTAGTATTGATACTAGAGAAAGATAAACAATACCTTTGTATTTACGTGGAACTTTTCGTTGCCCATATTCTTGATGACACATTCCTTGTATGATCTTCATCTTGACTTCTTGAATAACATTACTATATGTATTGAATCTTTGAATAAATATTGTTGAAAAGAACAATAGATAATGACTGGATGCTTTTCTCTGCTAAATCGCCTTTTTATATGTGAAAAATAAACGAAAACTAAAATTTATGTTGTTGTCCGACTTGTAGATGGTTTCTGAGATTTGGTCGAAAGATTGAATTAAAACTTCCACGAACTCAAATGAATTGTAAAGATATTTTGAAAATTATGTTCTAGTTTTATCTGCATACAAAGTCTCAATAAAATGTTAATATCATTATTCAATGAAGCAATGGTTCCACTTATGTCTAATACCACGGATAAGTTTACTGTTTTCGAAAGAATTTGATATACATGCTGTTGCAGACAAAATAGTTTATTGTGCATAGAAAAATACTTTGGCCACTATACTCATGCTAAGTAATTCAATAGTTACTTGTTAATCAGTTATGCCATGCAGCAATTAATTCTGATTTCAAAGTACTTCACTGACTGTGAAAAAGGTGCACTTTAGAAAATGAAATTACAAACTTTAGTAGGGTACAGATAAACGTTTATGTTGATTAGTCATTAAATGCTTATAAATCAATTACTCAATTGCTCGTCTTACACAACAATGCACAAGGCGGTAGTTAAAGTGAAATGTTTTGCTTGTTCTGTTCTGTATTGCAACACATTGCATCAGGTTTTGGAATCATGCAAAAAATTACGAATAAAAAAAACGAAAGATAGCAGCGAGTAGTTTCGATCTACCGCCCTCTGAGTTATGAGCCCAGCACGCTTCCACTGCGCCACGCTGCTTATGTTCAATTTTTATGTAAAAAGAAGTTATCATAGTAGACTTTTTTCTTAACATTACTGGATTCTTATACATATCCTATGTAGTCTAAATTCTTCGGAGAGTCTCTTGTTTTTGTGGTATGTTCTACAATGTCAAATCAAAAATCTGTTTTAACACTGCATATTTATTAGAACAAAATATACAGTGCGGTGCATAATTATAAGACCACTTGTTTTCAAAGTGCACTAAATAAAATGAGCGATATTTTTAGTGATTTCACATAGATGATTCATAAGAATAGCGCTATAAAATTTTCAAGCGCGAGTCTTTTTATTTTCTTATATATCTAGAATTACCTCCATTTTGGTGGTGCATAAATATAAGACCACATGATTGGTTTTTAATACTAAGTGAATCNAGTGATATTAAAATACCTTTAAATCAACATAATTATAACGATGTGAAATGCTCACAAATAATGCCAAAAAATGGTGTGTGTTGTAAGCATTATTTTAGCATTTTTAAAACCATTTTCACTGGTCAAAAAAAAAATCATTTTAATGGATCACGGAGGCATTTTTTGGGCATTATTCATGACCATTTCGCACCATTTTTTATTGCAATTTGAAGGCATTTTAATGCCATTTTACCATTTTTATCCCTGCCTGGGTAATCGTTTGAAATAATGCAAGACACCGCCAGCAGCAAAAACAGTGCTGACCGGAGAGAAAAAAAAGAGATAGACCAGCAAATGCTAAACCTGCTTTGCTAATACAATAATTGAATTCTATTTTTCTTTTTCTCGATTCATTCTTTGAATTTCTATTTTATGTTCTTTTGAATTTCTTCTTACTTATTGTGTGGTTTTTTAATTTATTTAAATTTATTTTTCTTATACTAAATTAATCTTTATACAAATAAAATTTGTTTCTTCTACTGATAAAATTTGCATTTTTACTGACCAAATTTGAATTTGTTACTGACACTTATATATAAAAAAACTGACCATTTTATAATTAATTACTGACCACTTTAGTACTGACCATTTCAATATTCACACTGATAATTTGTAGATTTTTTTACTGACCATTTCATTTATTTTACTGACCAAAAATTATGTTCCCGAATTCTATTTATCAATCGATAAACCAACTTACCACACTAATGATCAATTCATAGTAGGGCTTAGTTTTATGACCACCATAATATGTCCATGTATCATCCACTTTGTCAACAGTCATCTTTTGATATGTTGCTCGAAGTTCATCCCAGTTTGGTTCTACAAGATTACCAGAATCGTCCTCATAGACAAACCATTGGCGAATATCATCAACTTGTCGGATGATTCGTTCCTGGATTTTCTGTCCAGTGTTCGTACCTTGTTTGACTTCTTCGAGTTTTTTATTCAATGCCAGTAAGAAAGCAAGTAGAGTACGCCGACTATGGTTCCAATCACGCGTTTCATATTTCAGTGCAGCAAAAAGAATAGAACGTACTACTGGTTTAGTAAGAGATGCCACAGGTACATAAACGGCCAAAGGATCAGGTATTGGTGTATAAGTGAAATCAGAGTCAACTATAGTCGAACCCGAGTGTATATTTGTGTTTGATGAAGAATCAGCTAGTCTAATTGATTTATCAGATCCTTCCATGTATTCTAACTAAATGTTTCTTTCTACAATCTAAAATAATTCTTCTTTTTTTTGATTTTTTTCCTATAAACATTTATCGCAGTGCTCTGTCCATGTGCATTCTGAAGGGAAGGAGAATTATCAGTAAACATGCGACAATGCAGAGAATGTATAAAACTAAAGTATGCCTATGATTAGTTTCAAAATATCATCTACTCCACTCTTTTTCGATTTACTTTCGATCGTTCGAGATGATCTAGTGATTACGTTTTCACTAGCGTAATGAACGATCGAGGAGATGTCGATCTGTATCAAATCGGTGAGACTGAAAGACATTTTCGATTGCCATCTCTAAATTAATATCATTTTTGTTTAATTCATATTCATAAGTTCTCAATGTATGTTAACGTCAAATGGCATCAAAATGTGAACTAAATTTAACTGTGTTTGAAGTAAAATCTTCATACGTTAGAATTTGTGTGTGAAGAAAAAAAAGAACAAGACAACGAAAATATTTTAAAACTTTTCTGCCAAGACTTTGAATTTGATTGAGATTTTAACATCGTTTAGTGCTTGTTTATGATGAGAACTTTTGAGAAACGATCAAAACATAAATATGAGTTTAGAGATATCCATCAAAAACTTTCTTCTATCTAAATAATTTGATATTAGTCGACATTACCAAAAATAGTCATTGCAGGGGTGAAAACGATCGAAAGTTACTCATAAAATAATGAAGTAAATGATATTTTAAAACAGGTGTTCATTATATATATGAGACCACTCCGTAACATACCTTACTCTAATAAAAACATACCATGATTTTAACGAACACGAGCTGCTTTATTAATGGTTGTAGATGCACTACTTATGATGATGTTTGCTTTCTGTCTTATTCTTTTCCTTTCGTTCTGTTTTTCATCCGGCAGCTTACTCATTCTGTCATCATATGTATACACAGGCGTAAAAATATCGCTTTTGACTCATAATAATAGTTGCGTGTATGAATAATAGTAAAACATGCAGTGATGATTGTAGGTGGCAAGAAATTTTTAGACGACAAGGAAGCTTTCTTCAAAATGAAATCCTTTACTTCTGAGCTGTTTTAGAGAAATTATCCATAGAATGGTCTCTTTTTGTTGACAACACTAATACAAAAGTGCACTATTCATCTAGAACTAAAACTTAGAATGGTAAGAGCTTTGCTAAGAATAGTTGTCTACTCTCTCAAGAACAAGGGACAATGAAGAGCAAAATTGTAAAACTTTCAAGTGTCACAAGCTGGATTGACGCTCGACGTTCATTTTCAACAATGAATACCGTCGTTTTGGCATGTTGTTGTCTCACGAACAACAACTCTATAACTTTCTTTATACAATAACATTGTCGATATCGACACTTTTCATGAAAAGACTAAGATGTACTATAAAGATTGTGGGTCCAGGTAAACAGAGCACATCGACAAGTATCTGCCCACTTTCATTTTCAAACCAACATTCATACTCACTCGAAGTGATGACAAATAATAACAGAGATATTCGGAAAATAATAAAAGATTCATTCATTTTGCAGTAACTGATTTTTTCAGATTTGCAACACTTTGTGAAGTAATTTAGAAACTTGAAGTAATACTCATTAGTTATCATGGATTACCCAACATTTGCAAGAACGTTCACAATTTTCCAAACTTTTTTCTCCATTTCCAGAGATTTATAGTTAGTTACTGGTATATCATATAAAACACTAAAACCATCTCTGTGGAAATTTCTGCCAATCATCAGACGTCTTGAAAAATTGCAACTATTCTTGCAAAATGAAAACAGCATGTTTTTGCATGAATGCCTAGCGATTGCATAGCTTAATTAGTATTTGATTGTCTTTCTCCACAATATACTGAATGTAAATACTGCCATCAATAGTTTCCCGATTTACAAAGGAAAATTATGAGAAATAAATCGTAAAGATTATCACTCTTGGACAAACAAATTTCCAGAAAATTGATATACATTGAATGGAAAGTTTCAGACATAATTCTGGCGAGTTTGTCTGATCTCGAGATCGGCAGGATTTCGAAATTTTTAAAAATTGACTCTTTTGAAAATCGGAGCATGCCTTTCTGCATTAATACTGATTCTATGACATAAGCATGTACTGAAGTCGAATATTGACATTTAATTTAGTTTGGAATCGACAGAATTTCAGTTTCATGTGGTTCAAATCGAATGAGATTTTAATTTGCTAAAATTCTAATTCGAAAATAATTCATATTACATGTATCAGACAATGCAAAAGTGATACTGAGTATATTAGTTGAGACTTCGCGGCTGCCCTCCTGCGCTGACACAAACCACAGTATTATATGCCGTTCAAGCATTGGAAAGGTGATATTTTGCTTTCTAGTGACATTTTTTTCAACCTTACTGATTCTTTGTGCAGATTAGTTCTTCTGTGTTGTTTTCATTTGCGTTTGATTACAGAGGAATTGGGCATGGTTGAGCGCAACGTCGGTATATTATCCGAACTACTGTGAAGCTGTTAGAAAAAAAAATATTCAATAAGGGAACTGATTTTACTTGTAAAGAATGATTCTGGAAAGATTGTCGAAAGGTTACAATTGAAGATATGACAAATGTTGCAAAATTTGACAAAAACACACGAGCTTGGTGGTTGTCTGTACAATTTGTGGTTATTGAAATTGTTGACAGGAATTTTAGGTGCAACTCTCCTCGCACAACATTACAGAAAATTCTCCTTTGCGGACATGTCAGCTGAAATATCGTGTTGTTGTTTTGTGAATAATGCATACAAAGGATCCATCTAATTTCTTCGGCATTTTTCAATATTCAGATTGCTTGAAAATGGAAGCAATAGCATGTTCATACAAACTTCGCAGTCTTGACATCTACAAGTTATGCGCTGTGGTCTTTTCTGAACAAGGCGTTTCATAAAACATTATTCATAAGAGAAGAATGGCACTATCATCAACATATTGTAGTCGAGCAATCATGGGTCACATATGAAGGTTTGAGAACAAGTGAATTTAAATAGTGAATCTGTTCACTTCGGAATTTTAAAGAAGCAACAACCCTGCTTGATACATCAGTATAATTTCATAAAATTTATGAGCGATATTTTTCTTAGGATGACACATATTTCTTTTACGGCAGTGCAAGTTTGTAAAATGACAATGTCAACTCCTAAGCGACTTAATATGACTGTCAAAAGAATGACAGCATTTACTTTGGCAGAATCAAAACTTCGCACAAGTAGGTTCTGTATAAACTATACTATATTTTGAATAGATACTAACATCATGCAATTACATTAAGAACTATTTCATAGGAACAGTTTACCTAACTAGTGTTTGTTTTTTTGTACTTCATATATATACGAAGAACAACAAAACTCACTCACTGTTGACTTCAACTGTCCCTATGAAATATTGCTTAAAGTAATTGCACAATGTGAGCATTTATTTAATATATAGCATAGCTTATACTAAATCTACTTTTTCACGGCTTGACTCTGCCAAAGTTAAATCTGTCATTCTTTTGGTAGTCACAGAGCATCGTTCAGAAATTTGAATTGTCATTTCATATAGATATGAGCAAATTCAACTCACAACATTTGGCTGTTATTCATGGCGGTCACATCACTATTCAATTCTATCTCCTATTGTTTACTGTTAGTGTTATCATTCTGATCATTGGCACGTTGGTTTCAGTTCAAAGAATTTATCAAAGAATTCATACATCATCACAAAAATAGAACGAAGTATTGCAAAAATGTTATCCGGATTCACTGTACTGCTGTTTATGTACAGTCATTTGGATACTCTACAGAGAATTCATTTAAATTACAGCAACCTAAAATCAGCTGCATGAAAGTGATTTTGTTCAACCATAATAGTATGCAAAGATAACTAATTTGATCTATGAATACAATCGTTACTGTAGCTATTGATTGTTTTTTGCCAACAAATTTTGTTAAAGTTTAAATCCTACATCACAATGTGTTTGATTCATCTTAAGCTGCCTCGACTCATATGCTTTTGATTGGCAAATTACTAATGAGAAGATTCATGGTCTTCTGCACTACAATTTTTTGATACTGAAGCAACAACATCTATAACATAAAGTATGAGTTTTGGTTTTTGTGCATGTTATCAAAAAGTAACACACAAATTGTCAATGCCGAAGTCAATGTAACCCGATCCAGACGGAGTGAACACTACTTTATTTACTCCAGACCATGGAAAAATGGCTACAACTTGTTGATATGTATTGAAAGAGAATGATATCGTATACAATAGCGTAGTGTATCGGTATCTAACGACCGTTACAGTCACGTAGTCTGACCATCCAGCAGCCATTACGCATGAATGTGATATTATTGTATTATTAGTAAGCAGTGTTTGTACAGTTAGTGCAATTGTGTTCCAGGCAACATATTCACCAGAAGCAACAACGAATCTGTAACCGCTTGTAGGCCGTGCGGTTGCATTTATATAATTAGTATCCACCCATTGCAGATTTGCACAGACCGCTGGCAAGGTACCCTGTATCGGGTCTGCATTGGGAATATCATCAAATGTTATGATTGTCGCTCCAACTGGACAGCCTATCGTTAAATAAGAATACATGGAGAGCAGAGTTAATATGCCATCGAAGTATTTTACGAGTAGCCTACACTAAGGAGGATAACATCTACAAGTGTCATGTGCTATTTTCTATCTAGGATATACTATGCTTTTCTGTATACACGTAATACAAAGTTCCCTATCAAATTTGGATTATGTAGTAGAAGATGTAGAAGTTCACGCTGCCTCTGACAGTTTCTGATGCAATTAGCCTTTTATTGTTAAACAATAGAAAGGCCTAACAACAAAGAGTAATGATAACAAAAATATCTTAAGATTAACTATAAGCTACGGAGGATTGATTGATTGATTGTATTAAATACTTTGGCATTTTGATGAGCATTCTTTCATTCAAAAAATGGTATGTTCCATCAAATAAATA